CTGGTACATCAGAGATGACCAGTGATGTTAACACAGGTTACAGGTTCAGAGGGTTTAAAGTAGAACACCCAAGCAGGGATGTTAGGTACAGCAATTGGTGGAGAACCTTCAGGTGGACTCCTTAAATAGGTAATATAGAAAAGTTACACGTGTAACCAATTGTACGCTCTCCTGTAGTAATTCATTGAACCACAATACCAATAAGTGATTAATAAAAGTCAAAAGACCAAAGAGGTTACCTTAAAAAAAAAAAAATTGTCAAATTGTTGTCTATTTCTAAAAAATCTATAATTACTAATTTTGTAAAACTATAATAATTAAATAAAACATTAACAATACTTCATGCTCAACTATTAGTAGTTTTATCAACTATTACTGAAATTTTTTTTCCTAAATATATTTGCTTAAGTGTGGTTAAATAGTTTTCAAAAATACCAAAAAGATATGTATAATGCAACATACTAGTTAAAGGAATACTACTACACTCATATAAGTATTGATTTAACTATATTTTAAGCTTATTCACCTTCTTTAAAAAGATGTCTGCTTTAATAAATACACAAATTAAATCATTGATTGTATTTTTCTTTAATTTATTTGTATCAAGAACAGAATTCAGGATAGATTGTCTTGTTTGATTTTTGGGAACAACTACATTTTTTTTTTTTTATGTTCACTTGTTTTGATATAAGCCATAATATTTGTCTTAATTCTTCAATTTATGAAATAAGAACAAAAATAACACATTAAAAACCCAGAGTCAATTACAAAATCCTCTGAAAATTCTTGCACATAAGAGTATGCTGAAACATGTTTGGGCAGCATTTGATAAAAGAAAAAAAAACCATTTTTGATATAAGACTTTTGAAATAATAGCCTTTTGCTTAAAATTTCTCAAAAAATTATTTCAACGAAATGCATATACATTTTTTTTTTTTTAAAAAAAAAAAAAAATCAAATGATAGTCATAATTACTTGTTCAAAATTCTAAATCTAAGCCAGGATTATTATAATTCTGACCGTCATATGTAGCATAATGTTGCACAACATAAAAGTTTTAAAAAATATCGATTTATCTACAATTTCACTTAAAAATATCGATTTATATATGATCAATGCAAATTGATAATATTCACTGTTCCTGCTTATCACTTGTTCAATCATGTAACACATGATTCGAGACAAAAGCTGCTTTGATACTTACATATTGAGCATAATTAATTATATATATATTTAGTTTCAAGAAAAAAAATAAAGTACTAATGTAACTGCTTAAGAGAAAAAAAAAAAAAAATTAAAATAAAATAGATGAAATGTTAAATCAACAAGTCACCAAAAAATACAAAATTTTGAAATAAATTTTTTTAGCATTTTTTTAGGTTTAGGATTAGTGTTTAGGGGTAAAGGTTTGCAAATTACCTATTTTTGTGGCTCAGCCCGGCTCGCATTTAGTTTTAAAATTTTTTTGCCGGCCCGGCCCAGACCGCATATATATATTTTCTTCAGCGCGCAAAATTTTTTGAAAATTTTCAGGCCCTCAGTTATAAAATTTTGCTTCAGGCTGCGAGCCTCAATGCATACCTCTATTTAGGAGTAGATTTTATAATAAACAAGTATAAGTGGGTTTTAGGAGATCAAATAGAGATCCCTCGTTTCATTTTAATTATGATCTGCGCGAAATTAAATACATATTGTTTAGTACATAAAATTTTATTTTACGTACGTAGCTACAATTTTTTGATTAATTTAATAACAAATTAGTTTGAATATTTCATTAAAACTATATATTATAACTTATATTAGTTTTGTTTGGATTTATTGTAGTACCATTTTTTTGACTTTTAGGTTAGACAAAATTTGCGTATTTATTATTTTGTATATTTTTTACAAATGATAAATGCGCAAATTTAGCCTTGTCTAAAAGACAAAAAATAATGTTGAAGGAATCGGAAATTAGTGAAAATTTTAAATATAAAAGCCTGTCATTTATGCAACTATAGTCTGAATCATCTGATAAAGCGGGTTTCTTTAAAAATAACTTTCAAAAGAAAAAGATAAAATATGATTGATTGAAATGTAGGCCGATTAGTTTAAAATTTTTAAGAACCGGTAGGCATGTTTTGCGATAAATGATAAAAATCTGCAATACTTCAGAATCAACGATTTTCCGCGAAGATATTTTATTTTTAGAAATAAATATATAGAGAGACCTTTCTAAATGCACCCCTCGTGGTATAGTAAAAATTTTAAAAATGTGCACTTAGAGAGGGTATGCATTTATAGAGAAAAATATATAGTGTGATTATAAGCTGGGACCAGACTACACTACGCATTTAAAAATACTTTACATAAAGGGTGCATTTATAGAGGGTGCGTTTAGAGGTTTCTCTGTATTTAGTACTCAAAAAATAATTATTTGTTTAAAGAGAGTTTAGTTGACTCTTGGTATAATGAACCTGCTATACAATAAACTTTTAAAGTCTCTGCACTATAGAACGTGTGTGTTTAGAGAGCAGCTTATTTGTATCGCGGGAAAAAAATGCTTTCTCAAAGATTTGAAGTCCTAATTGATAAATACAGTCAACTCTGATGAACTGATGGTAAACCATTTTTTATCAAAAGCTCCTTACAGAGTAATCTATGTTCCTATACCGAACTCTAATAAATTAAAAAAGTTGTTATAAAGAGGTCCATATCAAGAAGTTCATCATGTAGAGTTGACTGTATATACCTAGATGCAATGTGGAGTAAATACATAGCAAAATCATCTTAGAATATAACTTATCTATTATGTAAATTCTAAGCATGGTTTTGCTACTCACCCAATATATAAGGTATACCATTTTTGAACAGATATTTATATAGTTGCGATTTATTCATGAAGATAACAAATTGCTATACATAGAAAACTTAAGATACACAACGTTGTCTAGATAATATAACACCACGTTTTCTTGTATATAAGAATTAAAGAATGGATTCAAAATTTATATAATTTTCATTATTTTCGTCTTATAATCCCTTTTAATGTCATTTCCATGATGTTTAAGTTACTGCTTTTTCTCGTTTTATCATATCACATCAGAAGCCTCAAATTTCGTGATTTTTTCATCCAATATTAAAAACTTGTTTTCCTCTTTTATACGATATTAGGTTTGAATGCATGTATGTATATGTGATACCAAACACACAAATAAGGTCCGTAATTGTTTCATATTAAGTAAAATTTTACAAACCTTTATTATATTTTATTCTTCTGCATCCTCAAACATCTCTTTATCATGTTCATTAGTATCTGGAGACGTTCTTTGTTGCTCTGTCAGATTCGGTTGATCAATAATAGAATCCAAATACGCTAGCGATGCCTTTTAAAGTGAAAATCGGGTAATATAAAAAAAGGCTCAATCAAACTTTTTATTTCATATCAATAAAAGAAGGGAATTAAATGTTGTCTATTTACACTTCCAACTTCACTTAGTTCTTGTTCGTCACTTGGCGCGGCAGTGATCCATTCATCATTATCTCCATTGCCATAAAATTCATTATCTGGATCCTCTTCCATATATCCTTTGTCAGGATGCAATGCAGCGCATTCAGATAAAGCTTCAAAGATTGCATCAACTAATTCCAATATTTTAACACAAACACTTAAATATAAACTTATTAATAGCATTTTCTAGTAAATATGGAACTTACGAGAATTAGTATCATCAGGAATGAATTTCATTTCTGTCATTTCATCTCTATCGCCATCTTCAGTCGGATTTTCAGTACTTTGATTAGCACTTGTTAAACTATTTGGTTCAATATCCAACTGTGTATAAATACATGGCCCCGTGTCATCTAATGCTTGCCTTGAGATTGCATGCATTATTATCGATGGGTAATCAATCGCTAATCCGTTGTTTGTATCCCGAGAAAAAAAGTACAATTTGCTTCAAGTATATTATAGATGTGAATGTTAATAATAAATCTATTTTTTTTTATTTTATAACATAAAATTTGCACTAACTTTTCGTTAGTAGTACCTTTCGGTTACATATAAAGTTCCTTTCCCAAGCACAGCGTCAAACATAGGGGGGGTGATTAATATACGAACATTTGGTTGAACATGATGAGCAATTTCTGGCATGAGTCCAGAATCTTGTAATTGAATTGTTTGTTCGGGCGTTACGACCGCCGGTGGCGTGGAGATCAAGGTTACAGTCATAATATAAATGTTCTAACAATCATCAAGTGTTGTGGAGATAAAGAACAGTACGTTGAGTGATTAAATAATTTGTTGTAGCATCAAAATTTTTTAAATTTTAAACATAAGATTGTACATAAGACTTTCTATAGACAGTATTTTATATAAATCTTTTAGAAAACCTGTAAATCATGCTTTTTGAATGTTTACTTTGAATAAAAATATTTTAAACTCATGTAACCTAACAACTATTATTTTATTATTATTAGAATTTCCTTAATGAAACGATCCGAATGACATTAAAATCTTAAGTATTTGTTTACTTGTTTCTTTTATATTTCTATTAAAAGTATGTATCCAGAAAGCATCATTTACAGGTCTTCCCTGACTGTCACTCATTTTACTTCTTTTACACATTTATTCATCTATCCATAAATCGCTCAAACGATACTTTCTTTTTAACCATAAATTTGCGGTTCCAATTTGAATTCTTTTAAAGATCATTAAGCAAGAAATTATTTCGAAGTTGATCTGACACTTATACGTACAAATTAGACTAAAACGACCCAGATACGTGAGACTTGGATGATAAGAAAATGTAGGAATAACTAATGGACACACTTGATATTATATGATTTGTAATGTAATACAGCACATTAAAATTAGTCACAAAATGACGTGTAAACTAACTGAATTCAGTGGGCAAAATTAAATCACATCATGTGATATCAATCAATATTAATTTTTTGTACGATATTTGAATGCAAATCAAAGTCTTTGGAACGTTAGTATTTCATTTTCTTCGTTACTTTTTGATACTTTGTATACCTATAATTATCCGTCCATAAACATATCAGGTATTCATTTCACAAATTTTTCTGAAAACGTTCTTTGTAAAGGTATATGTCTTTGTTTTTTTTGTTAATTTATAGTGATAAAGACGAGCTGTCTGTTGTGTATTTTCTAGTATCTGTGAAAGGATATATTATGTGATATCGCGTCTAAACTATCATTTATCATTATCATTTTCATTTTGACATTTATTCATGAGTTTTTCTATCTTTGATTTGTTTATTAGGCAGAAATTCGAACTTTGTGGACGAAAATATAAGGTAATAAAAAATAATAATTTCTTAACAGAATAAATGCTATCCACAACCAATCCCCCGTAAACTTTTTGCATGATTGTCAGTTTTAAACCTCGTTTTTGATGGCCGTTTTTAGCACTATGCTAATTTCGTTTCTTTCTATTTCGTGTTCACTTATTAACGGCCAATGTTCCCAAACTTTATCAATTTTATCAATTTGTTTCTTGAAGACGAAAATCATGACCGATGATATTAACATGAGATTTGTTACAGCTTTGAGAGACATCGATTCAGATAAACGCAAGAAACTTGCTTTGCAACAAGCTTGGAAGACATATAGTCATACAACAAATCCGGAGTCATCATTCAGTTTTATTGCACAGATGGCAGAATGTACAACTGCAGAAGTAAGGCAATATTTTATAGGACAGGTACACTTTATGTGAAAAGTTGTAATGTCTTAGTATACAATTCAATTTATCACTTTTTTCTTCATTGCTTTAGCGGCGTTCTATTAATGTGGAACAGCCACCTTCTCCTGCTTCAACTTTATCACCACCTCCAAGTACGTCAAGCGATCTTACAGAGCTTTCTGAAAATTTTACTTCGGCAGCAACACCGGATGGACTGTCTCACACTGATTTACAACAGTCACAAACTAATGAAGGTATTTTTTTTTAAACAAAAAAAAGAAAAAAAAACAATATATTTAGCATCTCTAATAAAATAAAATGTTAATAAATATCACATTGTTTTTTTCTTTTGTGGTTCAAAATTCAGAAAGCATTCCAGATACTTCAATAAAAGAAAATCGAAAGCCGAAACGGCGGCGTAATTTAAAGTTTGTTTCCTCTTTTATTGATGTTGTGATTCGATACCAATTGATCCTGATAACACTGTACCAAATAGAGATAATTCACCACCACAAGCTATAATTATGCAAGAGAGACCGAAACGAAAAGGGAAACCTAAACGTAAATCGCTTGCGTCAAGTGACAATGATGAAACACCAAGTACTAAACGTCATAAAAGTAAATCAAGAAAGTTCGTACTGATAACTGAGCCGCAGTATCCTCGTGAAGTTCCGGGAGTCCAGCATATGCAAACTAGACGGTGTATGAATGCTGCGTACGGTGAATTTGAGCGTTGTGCATCGTGTAGGTAATTTTTTTATTTTTTTTTCTTTCTTAAAATCATTTTTTAAATTAACACAATCAAATTTGCCTACACATGTAAGGCTTGGCAAAGAAAACAGACACATGCAGATTTATAAATTTTCGAATTTTTGGAACCAAGAAAGGCTCTGAAGGAGATGAACTTGTTTATGGACCGAAATTCCAATCTGTCACTACCCCAGATCCACGTGATAATTATGATTTTAAAGAAACAACAGACGAGCAACGAGGTTACATTCTTGGTAAATTCTACGAAAATATTAAATAATTAAAGAGTTTATATATCACTTATCTAAGATTTTTTATTATTATTTAAATGCAAGATATGATTGCCCCAACATTTAGAAAGATTCTTAAAAAAGAAATTTCTCACTTTGAGTATGCAAACCTTCGCAAAATTCCTAACAGGGAGATATGTCAATTATGTGATAGCTGTGAGACTACTATATTTAGCGGGTATTGGATGTGTTGTGTTTGTGGTAAAGAACTTTGTTTATCTTGCTATGATGAATGGGATGATGGCAAAAAATCAAAGACCATCACGTGTAGCTTCAGGCGGCCTCATAATAAAGAACAAATGGTCCCTATATATCATTACAATAAGGATATAATACAACGCATTTTAAATGAAACTGAGCAAAGAATGATTGAGAATGGGGATAGCATGGACATTGACGAATTTAGTGATAATGAATTACCTGATGATTTACCTATTTTGGAACCTCCCCAAATGCCAGAAGGTAATATTTCAGGTACACAACCTAATACTAAATTAGAATCACAAACCGTAATAACAGATTTTGAATATGCATCTCATATAGAATCTCAGCAAGAGTCTCAGCAAGAATCACAGAAAGAATCTCATGAAGTATCTCGACAAGAATCTCAGCAGGAATCTCAGAAAGAATCTCAGCAAGAATCTCAACAAGAATCTCAACAAGAATTTCAACAAGAATCTCAACAAGAATCTCAACAAGAATCTAAACAAGAATCTCAACAAGAATCTAAACAAGAATCTCAACAAGAATTTAAACAAGAATCTAAACAAGAATCTAAACAAGAATCTCAACAAGAAACTCAGCAAGAACCTATCTCTAAGATTGAACCATTTGATTCTACGATCCCTCAACCGATGGAGATGGATGCCATGCCAAAGTTACCACCAACTACCATCCGTCCACACGATCGTCCTCAACAGCCACACGATAATCATCAAAAAGTAGAATGGAGGGAAGATGAGCTTTCGGAAGAAATTTTCAAAGATTTTTGGAAAAAAGGATATCCATTTTTACTAAAGGAAACATCTACGCAACTAACGAATCAACTATGGACACCCGAATATTTTAAAACAAAATACGGTGAAATAAAATGTGAATGTGTGGATTGTAGGTCTGGCTGGATTCACGCAATGGATGTACAAAAATTCTTTGATGGTTTTGAGAATATCAACACTCGTTTCAGTTTCAGAGGAAAATATCCGTGCTTAAAGCTAAAGGTAAGGCGACTATAAAATGTTACTGCATCTGAAGTAGTTACCTATCTGAAATAGAACTTTAGACATTTGAAGTAACACTTGACTGATATTAAGCCCTAAAGTTAGTCCTTCATACGCTAATTCTGGCCAGGTGCTACAAATATATGTCTAAAATAGTTACTTTAGATAGATAGCTACTCCAACAACATTATAATGCACTCTGATTATATATTAAAGATAATTTGTTATTAAAGGACTGGCCATCGACGGACGATTTTGCTAATGTATTCCCTGATCATTTTCAAGACTTTATGAATGCATTGCCATTTAAGGAGTATACTACTCGTCAAGGTGTTTTAAATTTAGCTAATAGATTACCGTCAGACATAAATCGCCCTGATCTTGGGCCCAAAATGTATAATGCTTACGGTTCTGAAGACGCTGATGGTGGAAATGGTACAACAAATCTTCATTTAGATATGACAGATGCTGTAAACATGATGGCTTATGCACCAAATGTCGAAAATCGACTTGAAAACGAACAACTCAAGCCATCTGCAGCTGTCTGGGACATTTATCATATTTCGGATCTACCACGCATTCGTAGATTCTTACGTAAAGTCGCTAATGAAAGAGGCTTAATAATTGATAATCCTATTCACGATCAATGTTTTTATCTGGATTCAACTTTGCGTGATCGTCTTTTGCAAGAAGAAGGTGTTAGTGGTTGGAGAATTTACCAGAATCCTGGTGACGTAGTGTTCGTCCCCGCCGGGTGCGCTCATCAAGTGTGTAATTATACAAGTTGCATAAAAGTTGCTGTCGATTTTGTATCACCAGAAGGCGTAGGACGAAGTCTTACCGTCAGTAAGCAATTTCGCAAATTGTCTAGAGCTCATAAGAGAAAGAAAGATATTTTGCAACTTCCTGTTATTCTTTATCATTCCTGGACGACTTCATCTAAATAATACGTGATGGTTACAGCCAAGTTAACTGTATCTCTTGTGTACTTGTTGCAATTCCCAATTTTTAGAAATGTTCCATGTCACTTCATCGTTTCATAGATTTAATTTTCATCGACTGAATATAACCAATCTTTTGTTGTTTTGAATAAGATTTTGTTCATAATTTGTTGAGTAAATTAGAATTTTACATAAAAACATAGATTTACTCAATTACCATGAAATAAAACGAGCAATATTATAAATACAATTTGCAATGTGATAGGTTGATTATTCTAGTAATTACTTTTTGTAACATCTTAAGTTTCACTTATTATCTATTGATCTATAAATCGGGGTCTTTTTAATTTATTTGATTTGTTTTAAATTAATCTGTCAAATAAAGATTATGTTGACCTCATCGTATTTGTATCTTTGAAATAATCATCCAGAACCATGCATATTTAATAAATAAATTTAACGGGCACAGGCCATATATAGAACTAAAGTCAATGTTTGACAGAATAAAGAGACTTTTTTTATTTTTTTTTATTTATAAATTTCTTATCTTTTAAAGATGAATACTATTTTTTCGGATTTATACAAATGATGATTACCGAATTAATAATGAAGACTTCGAATTGATATTAAATGCCGTTAGATAAAATTGTTGGTCTATTTGATTTGAATACTGTACTATTATTTTGTTCCTTTTTTTTTTTTTTTAGAAAAATATCAACCATCCTAATTAACTTAATACTCCAACCACATTAATAAGTTTACATTTCTAAATCATTAAACATATATTTTTTCTTTCTTAGAGTTTTTTTTCGCCGAGATTTTATCGCTAAATTATATACTTTAAAATATTGTTCAAGAGGTCCTTGCGGTCGATTCCAACTCAATTTAAGTGCATCTTTGATCAAATCTCTTATAAATATTTCTTTTTCATGCAAGTTATCGTTTAGTCTATTATAATCATTTATTACTGCAGTTAAAGCTCTTTTCAACCCTTCGGCTGAATTAACACTATATTTTTGATCAACTAATTCAAATAAATAAGAATTATATCTATCAGTTATATTGTCAATGCTTTTATTAACTAAAAATTCCTTTAACCCTCCTACACCTGTACTAACAACTGTGGCTCCAAACAATAACCCTTCGACTGCAACTAAACCAAAACTTTCAGTAAAGCTAGGTACAAATTGTACATCTGCTGCAGCACGATATAAGACACCCCAATCATTCTGAAATTCCAAATCATCAATTAAATTAAAGTTTTTTGGATATTTTGATTGAAGTTTTTGCAATTTTTTAATTGGAAAATTATTCTGCTGGCCCATAACAATTAATTTAGCATCAAGAGCTGCCAGAGTCTCAATTGCTGGAACAAAGAATTCTACCCCCTTATTATATTGAAACCGACCGATAAATAAAACTATAGTCCTATTTATATCGTCAACTTCTAGAAATCCTTCTTTTATTAGATGACTTTTAGCTTTAAATTTTGCATCAATAACAAGCTCTTGTGATGATGCATCGATTTGTTCTTCGATAAATTGTTCATAATCAAAAGTCATGATATTCTTTGGGAAATGTGAATCGGTCTCAAAGAGCATCATATCATCAAATGGGTTAAATTGAGTAAAATCCACACCATTAGTTATTCCAATCCAATGACCTTTGGATGCACGGTGAAGAATACTCGGCATAATCAATTCCTTTGCACGAAAATCCAAAGATCCTTCAACCATTTCTTTTGCCATGGCTTCAGAAACAAAAGTTATTATTTGGGCTCTGTCAATTGCAAGAGCTGATGGATAAAATCGACGACCATGAATATAATTTAAATATCCATCAATATCATTAATATCATCACTTAAATTCTTGAACATTTTAAAGTTGACAAGTTGAGTCGAATATAATTGCTCTTCATAATAATCATGCATAGTATAAACGATTGGAGGTGATGATTTACTATATTGGTCTTCATCATATAATTCTTTGAGAAAATCTATTACAAATGCATTCGTTGCTCCATGAAGATGTACAACGTCTACTCCTCTATTATCAACTCTGGCAAACAATGGAGTTTCCGTATACTTATCTAAATAAGTTATAAGTTCAGCAACTGCTTTACAAAAATACAAATTCACCCATTCCTGAGACAATCCTTCTGGCGTTGAATATATTTCAAGAGCACTAGGTGCATAAAAAGCCAAATTAAAAGGTGGATAATTTATGGCGGGTCCAATTAGGTAAATACAAATTCCTCGCGATTGTGGTGGACTATTGCTTAGAACATCAGGATTTGTGCTAACATTCAATAACAATCTTCGAACTCCGAAATTGACAGTTTGCCATTCACCATAACTATTTTGAATTTTAATTGATAAATGAGCGTAGAATTCACACTTGTACAGTGATTTTAAATAACTATAATATGGCATTATAATATTGACATTCAACCGGCTGTTCATCGATTGTCCTTGCGTCAAGGCTGTAACAACATGCCCTAATCCACCCATTGTAGCCGCACCAAATTCTTTACTAACATGGTAAATCGATGTGCCTATTGGAAGAGTTGGTTTTGTATTTGGGCGTAAACCTATATAAGGTTGTGGCTCAAAAGTTCTACTTTCTTATATAATAGATAAAATATGAGTGTTTAGACAAAAAAAAAAAAAAAAAGGAAACTAATTTCAAATAACCCACTTATAACTAACTCATCGCTCAAAAATATGTTTACAATAGTTACTGATGTAATTATAAACATAATTCCGAATAAAGCAAAAAATGGCAAATATCTTCGTCCACTTCTCAATAAAAATGGAATTTTATGTATACTTTTTAACTTGCCATCATTATTTCGACGCATTTGATCAGTTAAAAGACTATTTGTTGAGAGCATACTTTGTCTAAATAAGCATTGTGAGAAAGTTGATTTGTCGAATCTGAAAGATTTATTGTAACTATCTTCAAAGCTGTACACTATGAAGATTCAGCTACTGCTAAAGATTGTTACTTCGGCCTTTTTTTGTTTTATCAGTCCGGGCACTATGTAAACGAAAGGAAGCTAATTTAATAATTTACTTACGTTAAGATATCCTTCACTGCTTATTAAAGGTAAGTGCAACCAATATAAGACACTCGAATTTAATTTTTTTTAATGTAGTGCAGCACACGTGCTAAGTATTATTAAACACAATAAATGATACAAAATTCTTATTTTACACTTTCATAAACTCAACACATTTTAAGAATATAATAAGTTTGAATTCAATAAAAACTTTCATTCTATATGAATATTTAAGATCGAATTGACAATTTAATTTCATGGTTTTTTTTTTCTTTTTTCTAAGCGTTTGTACGTCAAATATAATTTGACATTGTATTGCTTACCAGAATTATAAAATTATAAAAAAAAAAAAAAGCAATGAGGAACCGATGAAAGATATTGAATTTACCACAACATATCAACGGATCCTTTGAAAGAATCTATGTACACGAATAAAGAAAAAGCATATTCAAGAAAAAAAAAAATTTCAAAATGAAATCCACAAATAAAAGACAAAATTTTTTTTGAAATAAAATATCACACATCTAATTAAATTAACCATCATTGCCTTCTTCTTGCCAAGGGTCGTGATCAGCGTTTTCTTGTTCGTATTCAGCTCCTTCATCGTCAATATTTTCACTGCCCAACATTTGTGAATTATGATATTCAATAATCGTATTCGATTTTGACAAGTCAATCAGTTTTCCAGATTCAACAGCTCGAAGACCCATTTGGCGTGCCTTTTGGAAAATTTGGATTCTATATTATTTTATTATAAAATGTTAATTTGTCCAAATAGAAATGCTAGTTAGTCAAATAGTTTCAATCACAACGCTTTTTCTTATATTGTTCAGTGGACCGATTAGGACAGTTTGAACAGATGAACACTTCTTTCTAAATTGACATATTAATTCGAACAAAAATAGTGAAAATAATTATAACGTATACCTAGTTCTTTCAGGTTCGAATTCTTTAATAATTAATTCCCAATCGCCGTTATGTTTATCGTAAGCAGCTTTTAATCGTTCTACTTCATCATCTGTCCAAAGTTGTCTTGGCGCTCGCCTATGCTTATGTCTTTGATTTTCGGAATTATAAGCTTCCTCACCGCTTATTTCAACATCATCCCCAATATGCCTTTTTAATCTTTTATTACTATAATTTTGGTTGCTAACTGAATATCCACTCATACCAGGAGCAAGCATACCACTAATTACCATTCCTGTCTCATTGATTATTTGAAGAGGATCGATTCCCGGGGATGGTGCAGCCAAGAATAATGAGACATCGGTATCTTTTAAGAGATTTGAAATTCCTTGGTAATATTCGGCATGTATTTCAAGACATTTTTTTTGCTAAGACGTAAAGTACGATCGGAAATCAAATGTTTGATAAATTCCAGGACAACAAAAAAAATAAATAAGTAAATAAACAAAAAAAAACAAACCCAAAATTTACAAAGTTATAAAATGAGTATCATTTTCTTATAAAAAAGAAACAAGAACATACAAACTCAAAAAAGTTTTGAATGGTTTTTCTCCGAGGAATATGCATTCTATTATGATAAGTCTTATTAACTTTGAATTTATAGGTTGTTGTAGGTGGTGATGCAGGTACGTTTTTAATGTCTTCAGTTGAGCTCATTTTTTTTTTTTTAACTTTAGCAAAGTAATGAAATTATAAAAAAAAAAAAATTACAACTGGGCAACGATAGGAAATTAATATTAGGGTTTAGTATCTATGTACCAGGTAAACTACGAATTTTTATATGTATTTACCGTATGTACCGATTAGCGTTAAGTTGTCCTACATGTTTACAAATGAATCACCGGAAAACAATAAATCTGATTGGATAATCAAGATACTGGTGATAAGTATCCATGTGATATTTAATATTATTTCTGCATTTAGTCTAATTAACGTTAAACAATGCAATAATACTGGCCAAACTTTTTATAATGCCAGTATTTTACATTAATGTGATGAAACCTAATTTACCGGACTTGCGCAAAATGTAATTTTCGTAACACCCAGGTACTGTATTTATATCGTATTTGCTAAACCACTCCCCTATCGGATCGTGTGGATATTTCCATGGTGCAGATCGGATAAGTAATACACTATATACCCTTGAATAACTCTATATTTAGGGGTCCGGTACATTCATTTAATGATCTACAAACTGCTTTATTTTTATTTTTGATATCTATATAACCCCCTAACCATAACTGCATCAAAAAAGTAACCCTAACTGATACGTTTCCCTATATTTAAGAACCCATAAGAAACTTGCATTTTATTTGATTTTATTGGTTGATTTGGCTGCATGGGGTCGATCTAACACGTGGATATTAACCAATTAATTTTCGGTTAAGTTAAATTCTTCAACGACAATTTTCATTAAATTTTCATATAACATAAATCGTCGTGACTTTCTTTAAAGAATAATTTGACGACAAAGTTATAATTAATATTTAGATTTTAAATAGGCTTATTCTTTGAGTTTTTATGCTTCTTTTTATATAAAAAAAATACCTTTATTTTAACATGTAAAATAAAATTAAACAAGAAAATAACAATTTTTTACTTTAATGTTTAAGATTTTCATCTAAATACTGCTTATACAAGTTTGCTATACGTAGCAGCAAATAAAAAGAGTTACAAGTTTAATTATTGAAGCAAAAATGATTTACTTATAGCATTTGGATAATTACTAGATGTTTTTTTATAAGATAAATTTGAAATTAATGTAAAGTCAATTATAGTTTTTTTTTTTTTGACATTTTATTAAAATTAAAAGTAAATTTTTTATTAAAAGCAAAAGGTCTAAAGCTAATAAAAACTTTCATTTTTAATTCTTTATTTCTAGATTCTAAAAAGACAAATAAATTTTAAATTAATATAAAAGTTTGTTAAACTTTTAGTTAAACATTAGAATTTCAGTAAAATTATATTTTAATTATGTTTTTTTATTTATAAATAAATACTAATATTATCTTTTTTTACTTTTACTAAGGTTAATGTTAATAGCAACTATTATCTTTATTGTGTTTTTAATTATATTTATATAATTTGTATAAAATAAATATGCAACTAATTATATATACAACTTTTGGTTATTTATTTAAGTAGTGTTATAGGATAGATTTCTATTATTGTATTATTTATTAGTTATAGTTGCTTTAATGCTTTAAACATTTTAATGC